GAAACTCTGTATGAAGTTGGTATTTCATTGTGTCAGACAGAACGATTTTCATATTTAAATTCTATCTCCAAGCCTGTCGAAGTGTGGCTTGTGACGCGCCACCGGTTCTCAAAACCAGAGGTCCTAAACAGTGGAACATAACCGCAATAGTCTCACTATGTAGCTCAGACTATCCGGAAACTCACAATCCTCCTGCCTCTGCTCAGTGAGTCCTGGGGTTATTTATGGGTGTGTGCCACCACACCCCTAGTATCTTTTACTGGCACGTGCCCTGTAACGTTCTTATTTTATAATATTTTACTGAAGAACTTTCTCCCTGGGCATCAGCAGCCACTGTCCCGGTGTTGACTGGAGAGTTGCTATTTGTCTAGATACCAGAGGGAAAGGCATGGATGGGCAGAGAAGCTGTGTCCATCATGTTCCCCACGCTGCCCTCAGAGGATGCTCTCCTCCCTCCCACAGCTGTTACTGCTGCTGCCCCTGCATCCGCTACTCCGGTTGGTACAATCACCTTAGACTTACTCAGGCCTCGCTTGTCAATCTTTCAGCTTACACGTGGGTCCTACCGTTGTTATACTCACAAGCTGAGCTTGCACGTGGATGGTAGCTTTCTGTTACTATAACAAAATGTCCCCCAGTGATTAATTCAGGAAGAGAGAAAAGTTCGTTTCAACCTCCAGGTTTGGAGTTTCTTCCCCATAACTGGTTGACCCCATTACATTGGACCTGTGATCATAGTGGAAGCATGTGATGGAGTAGTTACGCTTTCGCATACAATATCCACAGTAAAGCGTCTACTCCAGTCCAGGGAGTCTAGCATACTCCACCTCTCACTGGATGGGGATGTGACATGAAGACATCAAAGACTGTTCTCTCAGCAAATGTCCGGGGTGTCAACTCTGATATCATTCATTACAGTCTTCACACTGTAATGTTTAAGTTGCTCGAATCATTCATCCTGCAACAGCGCGGCCTCATAGGGTTGGCCAGTGTCTTCTCGTTTCCTGCTTCCTCTGCTAACCATAGATTTGCTGTGTCTTTGCTTTCCCCTTTGCCTGCCTTGTAATTCTATTTTTACTGAAACATCATTGTTCATGTGCCGCATACTGTCTGTCTGTGTCTGTTGGTGTTGCGGCAGTAGGAATGCTTGGCTCACAAGGCCTACAACACTTGCGGCCTAGGATTTTATGCGTTAGATTTAAAATGTTATTTATTATGTATACAGTGTCCTGCCTGCAGGCCAGAAGAGGGCACCATATCTCACTACAGATGGTTGTGAGCCACGATGTGGTTGTTGGGAATTGAACTCAGGACCTCTGGAAGAGCAGACAGTGTTCTTAACCTCTGAGCCATCTCTCCAGCCCTTGCACTACTATTTCTGAAGTTATTTATTTTCCTAAAACAAGTCATGTAAAGCTTATGTTTGACCACACTTTAAAATGACCGTTTAAAAAGGATGTTTGGGATGACTTACCTCACTGTGAAACTGACTCTTTAGGAAAGCGGCAGGTGTTTGTCCTGTGGCTTCACACGTCCTCGGGCACATTGCCCCCACCCCGGTCTGCAGAGGCAGTTCATGGAATACATGTCATCATCACTCAATACTTATTGAGCAGACCAGGGGCCACCAGGTGTGAGACCGGAGGTGGCAATGACACCACCACGTCTGACCCGTCAGAACAAACAGAGCTGGAAAGTCAACGGGAAACAGACTCGCCGATTCATAACATAGGCAACTACAGATCCAGAATGACCCAAGGAAGGGTGTCAGGGGCAAAGGGGGAGACCCGGAGGAGCGCTGTGGCTGTTCCAAACCAGCACATATTCCTCTTGACTGTAGGGTCAGAAAAAGCGGCTGCCCAGACCCTGTCTGGTCTCAGATCCCAGATAAGGCTTAGAAAGGTAGTACTCTGTAAAAGGAGTATTACCAACCCTGCTTTAAGAATTTTTATTATGGAGAACTGATAAAACCAGAAGAATGGATCGAGAGACTAGCAGAAGATTAGAAAAAAAATTAAAGAATTAGAAAGGTGCGATCCAAAGCACACGTACTCAGCACTTGAGAAAGAACAGATAAGGTAAAGATTAAGAATCTTCTGTAGGCAATGGTGTTAGAATCTCTCCAGTTTGGAAAACCATGAGATACTCAGGACACGTCAACGGGAATGGGGAGGGAGCAGATTTTCAATCGGAAAGTACATGCAACATACATGGAGAAAGTAGCAAGAAAGTCATCTCAACTGGTATACACTCAGGTCTTATGAAGAGCTGGAGCCCTGCTTAGGTCACCTGACCAATCACCTTGGGCTTCATTCATATTGGATGCCTTTGGCTTGGGGTAACTGGTATGGCCAGGACAACAGTGGTACAGGAAGCAAAATGGCATGACCACCATTCCCAGAAGTTGCCGAGGAGCCAATAGGTTCCATAGTGGGCCTGATGGGAACACTTTGACACTAAGAATAAAGATTGGGTTGTAGGCTGAGGAAGCCTTGGGAACACCTGGTTACCGCCAATTTCAAACATCCCATGTGAGTTTATTTATTATATAAGATCAACAATCGACCCTGGGTTTTTTAAGGCAAAGAAGCCAGAGATTATTTATGACCGAATTTTCCAACAAGTCCCAGAAAGTCAATTCACAGAATAGCTGCTGTTCATTTTTTTTATTGCTGTCTTTCGTGGGGACTTTGCTCAACTCTTAGAGGAACAATTTTGTGATTAGCCTGAGAGAGGGTTGCTTGTGGTGAGGTTGGGGTTTCCTGACTGCCCTGAGAGTAAAATACTCTCCTTGCTGAGGAAAACAAGCAGAACAGCCCAACCCTCCGTGACTCTTTCCAGAACCCTCTGTGGACAACACATGTCCTAGAATTGCAGAGGCCCAGAGCTTGCAACACATATTCCAGGGATAAGTTGGTACAGCTCAGCTGTGGGAGCCTCTTTGTGTGTGTGTGTGTGTGTGTGTGTGTGTGTGTGTGTGAGAGAGAGAGAGAGAGAGAGAGAGAGAGAGAGAGAGAGAGAGATATTACATAGAGGTTTCTAAGCTGATACTTGGAAAATCTATTGATGGAGTGGAAGTCTAAGGGATACGCTGATATTTGCTTTTCAAATCTTTGCTGAGGACAAACGGGGCACCCTCTGCAGCTCTACCCAAGAAAAACTGACTATGTCTATTTTTCATTTAACCCTTAAGGGAGAAGCACCTCAACACCCAATAAATCTTCTTAACCTTATTTAAATGGAAAGTAATGAAGTAGACATCCGTAAATGAAAGAGAAGTAGCCTTTTCTCTGACAGTCCTCGCATAGAACACAAGTTGCAGTTTTTATGTATTGGTCTTTAAAAAATATTTTTTAATGTCTTGTTTTTTTAATCTTATGTGTATTGGAGTTTTACCTGCACATATGCCTTTGTGGGGGATGTTGAGTTTCCTGGAACTGTATATATATATATTTGCAAACTGCTATGTGGGTGCTAATAATTGAACCTGGGTCCTCTGGAAGCGCAGCCAGTGCTCCTAAACACTGAGCAATCTCTCCAGCCCCTATAACAGCCTTCTGACAGCCCCCCCCCCCGCCACCAGTTTACTATACAGACCCATAAGATTGGAATGCTGACTTTGGCACCTGGCACCTGTGGGATCTGGCAAGCTTCCTAGATTCTATAGGCTTCCATTATCCCATCTGAGAAATAAAGATAATAATAGTACCTATTTAAAGATTAAATGGGAACATCTATGGAGTGGCTAGCTCAACACCTGGCACGCACTGGGGCAGCTGTAACTGTTAGAATCATTTATCACGAAAATAAGGGAGCTGGGGGTTAGAGAGATGGCTCAGCAGCTAGGAGAACTTGCTGTTCTTACAGAGAACCTCAAATGGATTCCTAGTATCCCTCCCTACCCCGCTGCGAACACTCCCCTCCTCCCGTGGTAGCTCATGACCATCTGTAACTCCAATGCCCTCTTCTGACCTTCTCGGGCACAGTATGCATGTGGTATACTTACACACACACACACACACACACACACACACACACACACACACACAATTAAGATGATCTAAAATCAGGGAGTTTGGGAAAGCTAGCTGGTTAGGAGATGTTAGTGTTCTTAGCTGTTATTCCTAACAGCTGAGCCACACCCCAGCCTCTTCCTTTGCACTGTGAAGAAGTTTCTGGAGAAAGATGGTGGTGACGTTCACTCAGCAACGTGGATCCACATAACTCTACGTAAAAATGGTTTAACACGCTAAGCTGCATGTTCCGTATATTTTATAAGATGAGTCAACGAATTAAAATTGAGGCTATTTTTAAAAAATAAACAGCAGACAGACAGACAAAAATGCTTTACAAGATCACCATTTGGGCTGTAAATGTCCGTCAAGGTACACATGGTAACAGCTGGGTTATGCGCCTGTGGTACCAGCGGGAGGGGGGCAGAGGTTTTGGAAGAGGGGCCTCAGAAGGGAGGAGGTAGGCCACCGGGTTGGGGTGTGCCCTTCAAGGGATGGGGAGGATTTGTGGAAAGAGGGCAGGATGGGAGAGGGGAGGTAGGACTCGGGGATGGGGAAGGCCTGTTTCCCTCTGATTTCAGTCAGAACAGTTGCTGGTGCCTTTAGATGAAAGTAGTAAAAAAAGCCTTCCCCGCTTTCTCCTGCTCTCGTCATAACGTAAGGCGGCACAGGAAAGGCGACTCAGAGCTTGAGCTCCAAGCGTGAGGCTGAATTCTCTGTGGTTTTTTCCTTTATAATGACTTTTTCTTTCTTGTCCCCCACCTTCTCTGGGTCCACTCTTTATCACAAAAAGGAAGTGCTTCCTCGGTGGCAGCCAAAGAACTTTCCAGAAAAAGATAGGAACATCTTTTCTCCTGACTGCCTCCAATTTGCTGGCCCGTGAGCATGTTCCCTAAGGAAACCCAGGCCCTGTGATGAGTCCCCTCCCCCAAACCTGCCCTTTTGCGTAAAGGGTTTCTAAGGTGAGTATGTTTCTCTTTGCCCTAGGTCTCCTCAAGGGGAGGACAGGGGGCCCTGGTGGTGGCCGTTCAAGAGTCCAGTACCACTTCTCTCAAGTATCCTCAGGGAGATCCAAATTGGGAAAGAAGACAGCTCAGGTTGGGCTGCGGATAAACCATCTTTTCAGGAGGCCATCGAAGAAGTGAGCTTCACCCACTAGTCAGTGAACTGGAGAAAATGTGGACATCACAATAAATGATGATGGCTCGGGTGAGGGATGAAGAGCGGTTGCCTACCATATGCAAGAGCCCTAGGTTCTACCTCAGCACCATGTAAACTGTGTGGCGGTGCACGTCTGTAACTCCAGCTCTTGGGAGGTAGGAGGATCAGAAGTTCAAGGTCATCTTTCGCTAGGTAGTAGCGGAAGGCAAGCCTGGGATACGTGAGGCTGTCTCAAAAATTAAATGAAGAAATAATGGCAGAGGCCATTAGTTCCCAATTCCCATTATAGTCCATTGATTGGCTATAAAGTGGGAAGTCATGAGTCCACATACCCAAATGAATAAGTAGAAAATTCAGACACACAAAAAAGATATTTATATACTTTAAACTACCTCTCTCAATATACTTACTAATTACAAAGAACAGTCACAGTTCTGGCAGATGCATCCTTCTGCAAAAGATTAAAAGAGGATGGTCAGCTGAGTTCTCAGTCCATCTGCCAGGCTGCAGCAAGAGGACCCCAGCATCATCCTTGTGCCATGCCCGGCTGAAGATGAATGCCTGACTGTTACGGGAAACACAGAAAGTTCCAATCAGAGGATCTTTTTGTAACATAAGTTGTCTTCAAAAGAGTCAGAGTCATGAAAGGCAAAGACCTAGACACTTTGAAACTGAAGCATAGAAAAAGACAGGAAACCAACCACATACAGCTTCATTCTAGGTCCCTTTACCATGAAGGGCATTATTGGGACAACTGGTATACCTTCAGATGGGGTCCAAAGTGTGGGCAGTGGAGACGCAACAATGTTTACTTTCTGGTGATGGCTGAACGTGACTAAGCAGAATGGCATGCTTGTTTGTAGGACTCATACACTGGAATGTCCAGGGTGACTGGACATCACAGCAGCAACTGGCATGTCTGATCATTTAAGGAAAATTTCTGTGTACTGAGCTCTTGGTTTTAAATAAGTGTTACCGTGTCTCTAAGTGAAAAAAAGAGGGAGAGAAGGAAGAAAGCAAGGGAGGAAGGGAGGGGGAGAGAGAAGAACAGAGGAAGGGAGAAGGAAGGGAGGGAGGAAGGGAGGGAGGAAGGAAGGGAGGAAGGAAGGGAGGAAGGAAGGGAGGAAGAAGGTGGCACCATCACAGTGAGGTTCATTCAGCTGGTCCTAGCTTCAAGCTTCTTGAACTTGTGGAGCCCATTTGGAGATTCCTGTAGGGATGTGTACCAGTTTCTTTAGTAGCATCGTAAGGGGAGAGGTTTACTCAGATGCACGATATGGAGATGCAGTCCATAAGACAGAAAGGGCATAGAAGCTGAAGTGACTGCCTATGGCAGCAAGAGTTGGTGGCAACTTCTTTACCTGTTGGTCAGCCAGGAAGCAGAGGTCGGGTCAGAAGCAGTGTTTTCAAGGTTACCCACAGTGACCTATTTCTGCTAAGTAGACCAAAGCTTCCACAGCTTCCTAATAGTTCAAACCTTAGTAAGACCTGTGTGGAAATGGGTGGGGACAGAGGGAGGAAGGAAGGAGGAGGAGGAGGCAGTATGAGCAACAGGTAAATGTCTCTACTTAATCTGGTGACAGCACAATACTTGATTGGAAACATCTTTAAGTGGCTGCATGTGTTCCTGTGTATAGAAACTTTTAAAATTGGAGATCACACCATACAAACAGTTTATGACCTTACCTATGTTTTCTGAAAATTACTTTTTTTTTTTTTTGGAGATAGGTCTCGCTGCGTAGTCTTAGCTGACCTAGAGCTTGCAACGTAGACTAAACTGGCCTTGAACTCACAGAGAGCCACCTGCCCCTGCCACCCACGTGTTGGGCCTAAAGGATGTGGTACCACGCCCCGTGACACGTTATTCTAAAGGTTAGTTAATAAATAGCTCTCGGTTGTGAATCATAGTCATTTATTTAACTAACCCCAGCTGTAGTTCGGCTTAGCACTCCTGTCCCACCCTCCGTCCCCCGGATGTTGGCCTCTGTTATTCCCCAGTATGAGAGGGAAAAGGAAAACGCCTACAAGATAATTTTGAGGAGACCTTATAGTGTTTCTGCTTTCCCATGGATAGAATTGGGCTGTGGAGGGGAAGTTTTGGGAAATGAGCTGAATTCATTTTTTTCTTTTCTCCATTTATTTATTTATTTATTTGTTTGTTTATTTTTGATGGTAGAAGACTCTTCTGGAGACTGAATTTAGGGGCCTCCTGCATTCAAAGAAAGCACTCTACGCCAAACTACATCCCCAGCCCTGAAATGATCTGAGTTCAAATCCCAGTTCTCTTCTTCCCAGAAATCTTAGGACATGCTACCTAATATCTCCATGCCTCAGTCTCCTCATCTGGAACACAGGGGTGAAATAAAACATACACAAAGTCACCGAAAGACCGACGAGTTGTGAAGCCTTTGTACAGGGTATGTGTTCATACAGGGTATGTGATCACTGGTATTAACCATTGTTAGTATTATGAATAAACACGAGGCAGTTTTTGAGGCCCAAAGAAAAAGACAGCAAGTAGGTGAGCCCCTTTCCTGAGAGGGGAAAGTCCCCTCTCCTGGTGACAGGAGTCATTATGATGGAAAGAACATTTTGCAAGGACTCATGACATTTTAATCTCTGAGTAATAGATTCCATTGCCTACAGAGCCATGGCATTTCCATTTATTGCTTTTTCCTCTTCTCTCTCAGACCTGGAGTCTGTTCTCCCTCTGGCCACCAGGCGCTGTTTCTGGATGAGGCTCACTGCTATGCCAGGTCTTACTCTGGCAAAGGGGCCTGAAGACCCAGCAAGGGATGTGGAGAGCCCTTAATCCCCCTTCTGTCCTTACATGTTCTCCCAGTGGTATGACCAAATGATGTTGGGTATAACTTTAAGGTCATTATATTGGTGTCAATACTTCACAATGTTGTCCAAGGCACTATACTGTAATTGTGACCATAACCTTAGTGTTCCAGAACATGCCCCCCCCCCCCCCGACACATTTAGAGACTGCAGTCTGTATGTTTCAATGGTGTTTTATTTAACTAAACAGAGGAAGCAAACTTCTCAGTGGGGGAACATGAGCAAAGATGAGGGGACTGGGCGTAACCCAGTCTTCACAGTCTTAGGGTTCCTATTGCTTCGACGAAACACCACTACCTAAAGCAAGTTGAGGAGGAAAGAGTTTATTTGGCTTACACGTCACATTACTGTTCATCATCCAAGGAACAGGGCAGGAACCTGGCATGCAAAGGCTATGGAGGATGCTGCTTACTGGCTTGCTTCCCAAGGCTTGCTCAGCCTGATTTCTTGTAGAAACCAGGACCACCCGCCCTGAGATGGCACCACCCCCATCAATCACTAATTAAGAAACTGCCCTACAGGCTCGCCTACAGCCCAATCTTATGGAGGCATTTTCTTAATTGAGGTTCCCTTCTCTCAAATGACTGTAGCTTGTGTCAAGTTGACATTAAAGTATCTACCACAAACGCCTATTACACACTTGCTGGGAATCTCACACTGTGACTCAAGGCGTGCTGAGTGAGAGGGTGTGGGCAGTTTTCCTCTAAACTGTGGGTAATCATTCCCCTGATCCCCGTAGATCTCCGTTACGAAGTTCTAACTGGTCTCATTCTCCTCTCCTATCATCAAGCCCTGGCTCTTTGTATTTATCTGCTCTGAACCCCCTCTGCCCAGGTCAGGCATGGCAGAGCAACACAAAAAAGCAATGATCTCCTCACCCAAGGGTGCAGTATGAAGGTGGGAAAAAGAAACCCTTGCTGACATTTTTTTTTTGCCTCCAGCTGTGAACATGACTTGGTTACCCAAGGAGCTGTGGAATCTCTCTTTTCTTCTTCCACAAGGTCTGCTGTCCCCAGCAGTCTACAGGCCTGGTTTAATCACCATAAGCTTCACGTGATGGAGAAAAATAAACTTACATCAAAGTTTCTGCTTCAGTCCAGGAGAAAACAGCTGTCGGCACACCTTCAGTGTCAAGGTCGCTGCTTAGCTTATCAGTAAAAATACCATAAAACGGGGAGGGGGGCACGACCTTGACTCATATTCCAAACAATCTCCATAACCTGAAGGGTAAAGATAAAAGTAATTATTTCTTTTCCAGGAAATAGGGTGGTGCTTGGGCAAGGAGTGAGGAAGAGGATCGCACCCCAACTTCTGTAAGCATGGTAGGGACATGTCAAGAAAACAGACATGGGGGGGGTTGTGGAATATTGTTTTAATTGGGCAAAGATGTGTTACGATTGTTTATGCTGCAGAATATTACTTTAACTGTGTAATGGTGCGTGACTCTTGTTTATCCTGCCTTTGTTTAACGATGCAAGGATGTGTGTTTAATTACGTAAAGATGTGTTGCAACTGTTGCACCTTGCCTGCCCAAGGCACCTGATTGGTCTAATAAAAACGCTGACAGGTCAATATCTAGGCTCGTGATAGGTGGGGCTGCCAGGCAGAAAGAATAAATAAGAGAAATCTGGCTAGAAAAAAAAAGGAGGAATGAGAGGAGGAGGAGGAGGAGGAGGAGGAGGAGGAGGAGGAGAGAAGGAGGAACATGCTTGGGGCTAGCCAGGCAGCCACTAGTCAGCCAGACAAAGAAAGAAAGAGACACAGAAGTAAGCAAGGTAGTAAGCCCTGAGGCAAAAGGTAGATAAAAAGAAACAAGTTAATTTAAACTAAAAAGAGCTAGCCAGAAACACGCCTAAACTAGGCCCAGCATTCAAAACTAATAGTAAATCTCTGTGTCATGATTTGGGAACTGGTTGGTGGCCCAAACAAAAAAAGAGTGGCCTTTGTATGGTGACCTGCCAACTCCAACTCCTTCCTGGATTCAGCGTCAGAGAAGCCATGTCATGTGGTAGTTTGATTGTTTCTAGAACGCCACAGAATTTTCCAAGGTGGTTTCTGATATTCGGCAAAACTTGGAAATTTTGAATCCCCCTCCATCACAGAAAGAAGAGCTTTTCTTCCCCCAATGTTTGGGGTCAAACTAAGAACCTTGCACATGTTAGGCAAGTACTCTGTCGGTGAGTTACACCGATTCCTGCCCCTATTGTCTTTTCTTCCTACTATTAAAACATACCAAGAAAAATGGTTTTCCCACAATTAAAAAAATTACCACTCCAAACATACATACACATGGAAAAAATTAAGAAATTAAGATGAATTTGTAATTTTACCGAAAGACACCAGCCTTACTTCATCCTGAGCTGGTCCCCCTTTTTTTCCAGAAACCATTTCTCTGAATTATAAAGTTTCAAATTTCCTGATGGTTAGCTCCACAGTGATTAAAAAAATGCTATACAGACTTCTGTGGCTTATATTTATCCTTTATACACTGACTTCCTGTTCAAGTGAGTTTCACCCTTTCTCTCTTCCAAGCTCCCCTGCCCTTTACCGTATATATCATTAGCTTCCGTGCATGGCTTTTATAAAACCCTACCATGGAGTTTCTGTTGATCTTATCAAGTATTATAATTTGAAAGCAGTTTCTGTTAACTTAAAGAAAAATCAATACCAAGTGGAGGAACAGAGTGAGGGGCGTGGTACCCACTACATGCCTATAATTCGATCGCTTGTGAGGCTGAGGCTGGAGAATCAAGGCTTGAGGCCAGACTAGGCTACAGAAACAAGCTCTGGACCAACCTGGGTTACATAGTGAGACCTCAAAAAAAAAAAAAAAGCACCCATTTGGAGCCTGCAATTTAGAGGTCACAATAAAACAGCATTGGCTCTTGTTCCCCTAAGGGCTGTTCCTTGGGAGGTGGAAAAGATTGTCCTTGCTTATCTCCCTTCTTGTGGGGAAGTAGAGCAATGGCGAGATAGTCCTCACGTGACATGCTTGCTTAAGTCCAGGTAAAATGATTGCTCTTCTCTGAGTAGGAGGACAGACAACAGACAAAGCTCTCCTCTTTCATCCAAGTCCTGAGTGGTGTGTGTTGCTGCAGAGAGTGAGGGCGTGTTACAGGGAGGCTGGAACACGCCTGCGCTTAGGCCGGTTTCTCTACATTGGCCTTACTGGGAGTTGCTTGGCTTTGTGTCTTAGGCCCTAATCAGATCACTCGGTGGGGCCGATGGTCACACAACAAGCCGATTTAAAGTCAGCAGCCACCTGTGAGTCCACGGTCCACCTGGCTGAGATTCCTGTTTGTCTTTTTTAAAAAATTGTTACTCTTTGAGATTATAATACATTTAAACTTTCAATTCACAAATGACTTGAGAGACAAGGCCCTCCCTCATTCGCACTGGGTGGTCGCCTTTGACACAGCCCTTCATCTCTCTGTCTTCCTGCCGAGAACCGGTGCTATCACATGGTTCCCCGAAGTCTTGGGAACTGGTGAAGAGCAAGTGGCAAGGTTTTTAGCCAAAGGGGCAAATCCCAGGTTCCCGGACTCAGCTGAAAAATTGAGTTTTTAGAGATGTTCTTGCTGAAACATTCTGTAACCCCTTCTGCAGCCTCAGCAATACAGTTAGCATTCCCAGGGTGCTGCTCTAAGTGTCTGTGGCTGTACTGAATTTCTGCATTCTCCTTCCCTTTCAGCTTCACCCTGAACAACACCCTGACATGGATACTCTTATTGCCAGTTGGAGTGATAAACTTGTAAGTGGTAAATTGTTCAAGCCGAGTCATCTAGCTACTGGGAGAGCCAAAGTTGGTGAGCGAGCACCGCAGGCAAAATTCGAGCAGCTCTGCCCCTCTGTCTCCCTTGCAGAGTTAGCTTTGGTTTTGTTACTTGGCCATTAACCTGTGAAACAGAACATGGGAGAAAGCACTATTTAGTTGAGCCAAAGGTTTATGGTTTGACCGAAACGTAGTCGAATCGGTTTTGTGTGCAGGCACTCAGAGAAGGAAGTTTTGAACTTTCTCTGATTGGTCTGACAGGCATGCAAATAGTGACACGGGCGGCTCTGAAATAATTTGGATTAGAACAATTAGTGAAAGAAAAAACTGATGAATTTCCTTATTGCTTAAAATGTCTTATTGTGTTTATTTATTGGTAGAGGCATGCCAGGGTCAGAGGACAGCTTGCAGGAGATGGTTCTCTCAATCATCTGGGGCCGGGAGAGCAAACCCAGATCACCTGACTTGAATGGTAAATGCCTTTACCCACTGAGCCATCTCACCAGTTCAAAGGTTGATTGCATATTGTGAATTTACCCTGTTACCATGATGCTGCGTTATCTTATGATATTCCTAGATTTCCTATTATTTTTGCTACCATATACATATGTTTGGTAGAATGTCACATATAAATGTACACGTTTTATACCATATATACTCTGGAAATATATATCTGAGAGATATTTCAGTTTCCAAAAGCACATAACATTTCCCCAAGGATATCTTTTCAGACATGCCCATGACCCATCTTCTTTCCCACTCAGCTGCAAGAATCGCAGAGTTCGGCCAAGCCCCTGCTATCTGCTTTCACTAAGTCTCTGCCAGCCAACTGCTGGCCGCAAAAGGGTATATCTTAAAGAGATGGGAGTTAGGAAAGATTCAAGTTTACTCAAAACCCACAAGCTTGGGAATAAAGAGGGGTTACTGACTTAACTCTCCACGGGCGGGGGAGGGGGCGGGGGGGGGGGCTCAGGAGCACAAAGGGCTTTGGAGGGCAGAAGAAAGACCCAGGGTAGATCTGTGTTCTGTTCTCTGAAACTCTGCGGTGAGTTATCCTCGGGGACCAGTTCCTGCAATTCTCCTTTTGAATCCTTGTGCTTTGTGTTAGTTGAGACATAAAGCCAAACAATGAATTTCTGTGAATCTGAAAAAAAAAACCCAACTTAACTGTAAGTGTCTTACCCATCTCCGTGGGACTTTTCTTCAGAATTGAGAATGCCCAGTAAAAAGGAAGGGGGACATGGAAGGAAGGGGCGGTGAGGAGGGCGAGAGGAGGGGCAAGTCAAGGACAGCTCCAAAGGGGTGGCCCCTGGTAAAACTGGGCTCTGGATGCAGCCCCAAGGAGGGGAGCTGCTTTGATTTCCAAGAGGTTTGTGTGTGTGTATGTGTGTGTGTGATGTGTGAGTACAGGTGTGTATGTGATGTATGTGTATGTGAGTGTGTATATGTGAGCATATATGTGTGTATATGTGAGGGTGTGTATCTGTGTGTATTTGAGTGTCTGTGTGTATGTCTGTGAGTGTCTGTATGTGATGTGTATGCATGTGAATGTGTATGTATGTGAGGTTGTGCATACGTGTATGTGTGTGTGTGAGAGAGAGAGACACACAGAGAGAGAGGGAGTGTGTGTGTGAGTTTCTTCTTCCTTATTTCTGCTGCCCAAGCTTTCACCCATCTGGATGCAAACACAGAAGCTTCCTGACCCCCCAGACTTGACCTTTTGAGCCCGGACCAAAGAAGAATCTAGTCTTGCAGCTGCCCTCACACTTGCTGTGGGATGGAGGCAAAGGGGGAAGAAGAAGAATTTCCCTGGAGGGCGATGCTTTCCTAGAGAGAAACACACTTCCTAAAAGCAACGTAAGCATGATTTATGCAACGCCCGCCCAGCAGTCAGGCTCCTTTCATTTCTCTCCAGCTCTGAAACACAGGCTGGAAGCTCCTGCTTATCTTCCATCCCAGAAGGAGGCTCTGATCCTTGGAGGAGGACTTGGTATGATGCCAGGATCTGAATTAGAAACCACAGCCTTGAAATGAGGCCAAGTGGGCCAATTAAGAAGGTGTTGACGACGCTTCCCAGGAACGAGTTTCTAGATATTTTAACTTTGATGGAAAAGTTTAAGCTTCTAAAAATCCCCCCAAGAACCTCATATTTTCCAGGGAATAGTGCCTGGGCTCTTAAGAGCTTCCAAGAAAACAGGATTCTCGGAAGGTCTTCCGACCTCCAGGCTCACTGGTCCAATCAAGAGATGTATGGAAAAACAAAAGCAAAACAAACTGTGCCTTCTCACACACCCTGAGAGATCTGAGATAAGTCTTTAAGGAGTTTGCTGCAAATCAGAACAGTGCACCGGCTTTGGGAAATAAGCTCCCTCCTGTTCTCTCCGTTTTTTGGCTGCTGGGCACAGCAGGGTTGGCCAGCAACCATGTCATGTCAGAATAAGGGGTTCAGATTAACACTTTCCCCACCTGGATTTCTCTCTGAATCCTGGCACACCTACTAATCTCGAAAACTGGCACAAACTGGTTATTACGATCTAAAGTGTAAGGGCCCATGAAACCTGTGTTCCTACTGCAAGCCCTGCAAGGGGTAGTCTGTCTGTAGATGAGAAAGCTAAGTCTCGGGAGGAACCAAGACATTCAGGGGAAGTTCTGCTGCAGGCATGACTCAGACACCTCAAACTTACCGTCCCAATCTAACTTGGGAATTCCTAAGAACAGGTGAGAGCAAGGTCATGGCCAGGGAGGTTTGGAGAGTGCGGCTGCTCCCCGTGTTAACCCTTCAGCTCCCGAACCCTGGTGGTGTTGCTGGAGTCCTGCAAGAGAGGCCTGACTCTAGCGGGAAGGGATTCCAACAAAATAATAATAATAATAAAATCCAGATAATGGAAGAAGAAATGGTGGAAAACAACAGAGAAATTTAATCAGTATAGCTATGCTAGCAAGACAAAGGAGAGCAGTGCCCTTAGTTCCTGTCCCGAGGAACACTGACATGAGTTCCCAGGTTATAGGAAAGGGAGAGAGGGTGGGGCAAGAAAATGACACATACTCAGTCCCTGTTAAACGGTGGTTCCATTCGTCATTATCTCTCAGCGCTGGTTAGGAAGAGCTTTGTCACAACAAGAAAGCCTTGTACTCTTGTCGCAAGATGTACTGAACCCTGAGGTAAGTGCAAAAGAGAACACCTCAAAGCCAAGGTGGCTTAGGCAGAATGGAGCCAGCGAGGCCAAGGTTTTCTGCTTTTGGTTGTCCATTGGGCGTTTAGGGGCCAGGTCGGGAAGAGTTGACGCTGTGAGCAAAGGTAGCCTCTAAGCCAGTGGTTCTCAACTTGTGGGTCACGACCCCTTCGCAGAGTTGCCTGAGACCATCAGAAAACACAGATATTCACATTGCGATTCCTAACAGTAGCAAAGTTACAGTCCTGAAGTCGCCACAAGGATAATCTTATGGCCGGAGGTCACCACAGCATGAAGAACTGTACTAAAGGATCAAAGCCTTAGGAGGGTTGAGAACCACTGCTCTAAGTTCCTGTTCCCCTGGAGCAGCAGAAAGAAAGCAGGTGAGAAAGCCCCCCCTTTTTTTATTAAACTATTATTTTAATAATCATAGAGCCAATACAGCCAGCCGAAGACTGGAAACGAGTCCCAGACATAGGTGGATTAAGGCAGGGGTCAGCTCTGCTTTTGGGGCAGAGAGGAAGCATAACAGGATGGGCCACTAGGAGCATCTGGTGTGGGGGGAAGAATGCGCAAATGCTGGGGGCATCAATCCGCAGGCCTGCAACTCATTTGCTGTAGCTGATTGAGGGGTGAGGTTTGGAGCTGGGAAGTGGGAGAGAGCCATGACAGAAGAGAAGAGAAGGGCACAGAGAATGGGGCATGGGAAAGACACATAAACTGGGAAGTTGGATAAAATCAGCTTAGGCTTTGGACATATGAATAATCCTAAAATATAAATGATCCAACTTTCAAATAAAAATGTTAAGCAAGTATTGCATGTAGCTTTCCTTACACCACTGAGCTGAAACCCATGCTCTGGCTTGCCTGCCCTCCGAGACAGTCACATCACTATTCCCTCTTGACTCCATGTTGGCCTTGCATCACAGCTGGATTTTATCTTCTGACAATTTTGCAAGAACTGGATCTTTAAAAAAAAAAAAAAAACAAAAAACCATTACACTGCTTAGGCAAGTGCTTGCCTTCTGCCCACATCTCCCCAGGAGTCTTCCCTGGGGCGGAATGTTGCTTCTCTTTTTTGGAGATTGGTTGTGGATTTGCTGAGAATGAAACCATCCCTCAGAATCACAGCACAATTCCTCCCCACCCCCCCACACTGCCTGTGGTACCTCCTGACACCTGGAGTCCCAATTGCCCCTGCTGAGCCGATGGACTGAGCTCATTTATATACCCACGGCCACCTGCAGTCAATCGAGAGCCATAAAATATTGCTATTCCCTCCGAGGTCAGCACTCCAGCTCAGCAAATTCCTTTAGCCCTTCATTCCCGTCCCACATAATCCCGAAGCCCCGAGTCTCTGGATCTCTTGTTAATGCAGATTTATTATGATTAGTATACGAGCATCACAAAACCACAGCAATAAGGGCAAGTGACCAGACGTCATACTTACCAGTGCCAAACGTCCAACTCTCAACACAAATATTTGAAGAGTTTTGTTCTTCTCTAATTTGATTGCTTTTGGAGGAGAGACTCCATAGTGTTTCATAGTTTATGACCCAGGTGGGACCGACCCATTTTCAGGGATCTGATCAGGTGAGTGCGTGTGTGCGTGTGTGTTTGTATCTCTGCGTGCACAAGAGTTCTGCTCACTTCTAACCAGAGTGACCTAGGTTTGTTTCAAAGAGGAAATTAGGTGCAATGGAAGAAGCCGTTGGCTGGGTGTCGTGAAGTTTGAATCTAGCCCTAGCTATGGGCTCCCTAAACAACCCGGTTCCTCTACCTTCCATTTTGTCCCGTGCTAGACCTGTCTCTGTCTCAGCCTGGAAGGCTGGCTTAGTGATCTCCCAGAGGTGGTGGTTCTCATTCCCTGTGCTCGGGGCACATTGTTAGTAAATAGTGAAGCACAGTTAAATGTTCAAGGACTGTAACAACACTGGAGATGTCAGCCACCCTTAAGTGCATTCCTTACCACAACAGAGCTGTACCTCCCATTTCCCGTAAAGTCACCCACAGTTTGTGGCTCCATGTCCGGTCAGCGAGTTCATCCTGTGAGTTGCCCCCCAGAACAGCAGGTTTCCCTCTGTATCCTTTCATCATCTCCATCCCTATCATACCCAAGCCTCCAGCGCGTACTTGTCTCAAGTCTGTCTATACCGCTTAGCGTTCCTTCCATCTGATATATGAGCGTGCACAACAGAGCGCTCAACTATAACCCACACTGATTTGTAAGTAAAGTTGGGCCAAGTATTAAGAACAGCTATGTCCAAGGGTCACACTTGCTAGAAAGACCTGTAGCTTTTCTCAGTGGAAACAAAACACGTTGAGGAAAGAGCTGACTGGGCTGGTTCTGTAGGCTGAGTATGTTCCGGAAGGGCTCTGATACCAGAGGACTGGTGCTCACCGTTCCTGTACCAAGCGTACTGAGGTGTCGCCTCAGGAAGAAGTTAAGGTAGGTCTCAAGAGACTTCTGTTACTGCCTTCAAGGGTGAGATGCCTTAACAGGGTGAGCCTGATGTTTCTCTTGGTCCCTGAGTTTTGTTTCATCCTCTCACCTGCCCCCCCTCCCCGCCAACTTTCAACATGATGCCACCCACCATGGTGTGAAGGAGCCAAGGGAACTCCCAACAGAGGCTGAACCAAGAAGGCCACCTGATCTCGGCCTCTCGGCCTCTAACTCCGTGAGACAAATAAAACCCCCTTCTTTAAAAAAAAAAATATGGAGCTTCAGATTTCCTATTGTAACAACTAAAAATAGATTAATATATGTAGAGTGCTTAATAAGTCTATGTTAGTTGGAGAAAGGATTCCTTATTGAAGAGAAAGAGAGCCGAGAAGCCTCTGCAAGGCCCCCGCGTCTGCAGAGCTTCGGGAACTTTGTCGGAAGAGCGAATGGGACGGCTCACAAGGACTATGAGCAGCAACGGGGCAGAATGGTTTTTTAAGTACTCAAAGACAGGTCGTGGAGGGCACTGAAGCCTCGGCTCGGCTGGCTTCCTGTAAATTCTCTCCGCTTCCTCCAATGCCTTTTCCAAGCATCGGCTGGTTTGCTGTTCTAGGCAGAGAAAATGGCAACCGGCTCAGTGGCCTCTCAATAGCGACTCAGAACTGTCGTCAAGGAACGGCGAAGATCAAGGCTTTTCAGAGGCCGGCGGCAAGTGGATCAAAGGAAGGCTTTATCATGTGTCTGGTGGGGTGTGACTTTAAACACCAGAAAATTGGCCTTTGGAGTGCATGTATTTATCATTAAAGTGTGTCTTATTTCTAGGGAAACAAGGTCCTCAGCTCCCAGTCCACATTTTTTTTTTTAAACCAGGAAATGAGTAGCTAACAGGCCTATGATCTTCTCTTTCTTCTCTAATGAGACTCGGGCATTAGAGTAGGTGTGTTTACGGTATACCAGGCGTGCACTGAACACTTCAGGTGCAGAACCGGCTGAGGCCCCCCGCCCTCCTGAAGACTGCGGGGAAGCCGGGCAGTTATGGGGGGTACCTCCAACCTGTTCCGGCTGATGCGAAGCGAGGAGCACAAACCCGGGCTCCAACTGCAGAAAGCCCGTGTGATTGAGGTGGGGCAGTGCACCAGGGTGTAAGGCTCCTAGAGGAAAAGACGGTTGCTACGGTCAGATTAGAGTCCAGAATGTAGAGGGAAACCGCCAAGGCGCTAGGACCCAGAGCGAGTCAGCCAGTCACCTTACCCGGAGCCCTGGAAGCCATGCTAGAACTTATTAAGAAGAATGGGAAAAAAAATCTCTGGAAGATCCTGGGTAGGAGATTAAGATTAGCAACTCTACACCTGTGTAAGAGCCAGGAAAGGCCTCTTGCTAGTGACCGGGGACTGATGGTCTCAGCAGGTTTTGAGAGAGTTTCCCAGAGCCGGCTGCTTCGTGAGCGGTGCCCACGTGGGTGTATTGTTGGAACTACATCCTGCAGAGTGTCAACAGGATGGCTGTGCCCTGAGACAGGCTCTTGGAGGAGAGTCCACACTCTTCTACGTTCCCCTTTCCCCCATCCCGATCTGGTGAGGCCACCAACTCCCAGAGAAGGGCAACCGGATGCTGACTTCTTCCCGTCGTACGATTTTTTTTTTTTTCATCTCGGGATGAGCTGCTACCCGAAGTCCGTTTTTTTTTTTCCTTAGTGTCGCCGGTTGAACTTTTGAGCCTATGTTAAGTGTACCGTGCCCTGTCGAGCGACATCCCCAGTGATGCGACCAGACATCTTCAAAAATGACTGGGAATATTTCCTCCTCTTCATCTAGATGCCGTTCTCCCTCCTGTTCATTCCCATTGGGGTTAGATTTAAAAACAGGAGCTGACAGCAACTGCACTGTACATGCCCCGTTATCCCGAGGGACAGCAGTGAAAACTTTGATGTGTGTGGACTCACAGGGTTGAACTGGTCCTGCTGCCCTCCAGAATCCCATTTTGTACAGATTTAAGCAAAGTTTCTGGGAAGATCAAGGTTGGGACGTGGAGTTGGAGCCAATCTGCATCCCACATTAAAAAAAAAAAAAAACGAAACAACATAAGACTATTAAGAATGACTCATGAGCACCCACTGAAGGTAAATGCTAGTGGCTTAGTGGAAGACTTTATGCATGAATGAATGACCACAACCCACACTGCATTCTGCAGGCATGAAGTAGAGCCAGGCTAAAACTTCAGACCCCAGACCAGCCTCATCCATGAGTGTCAGGTCCAAACAAGAGAGATTGTCTCAAAACTCAAGGTGGAGAATGGCTGGGGGATGACCTCCGTCCTCCACACACCCTGCGTGGACACGTACATGTGCACAGATACACACACATGCAACACGCAATCTGTACTTACAAAGGTGTTTCCTCACGGGACGCAGAAGGGTGATTCTCTCTATGGTCTCAGTGGAGAAAGTGACCACTTAAATCTGTCCCAGAACCAGGCACAGTGGCACATGCTTGCTAACCCACAGGCCAGTCTGGACTGCATACAGTGGGAGATCGTACTTGCTACTTTGATGCCATTTTAACACAAGAATCATCGGAGAGCAGGGGACCTCAACCGAGAACACGTCTCTCTAAGATTGGGTTGCAGGCCAGATTATAGGGCATTTTCTTAGTTAGTGATTGATGTGAGAGGGCCCAGCCCATTTGGGCGGTGCTATCCCTGGGCCGTCAGTCCTGGGCTCTATAAGAAAGCAGACTGAACGAGCCATGAGGAGCAAGACGGTAAGCAGCACCCTCCACGGCCTCTGCATCAGTTCCTGCCTCCAGGTTCCTGCCCTGTTTGAATTCCTGCCTTGACTTCTTCCTTGGATGGTGAACTGGGATATGAAAGTGTAAGCCAAATAAACTCTCGCCTCCCCAACTTTGCTTTTTCGGTCATGGTGTTTCATCCCAGCAATAGTAACTAAGACAGAGACATGTCTCAAAAAAAAAAAAAAACCTGCACAAAACTTCTCCATATTCAAAGCACCTTCTCGACAGCCCCCCCTCCAAGTAGATACCCCGCCCCCTCATCCACTTTTATTTTAGGAGACATAGCATTTAAGTCTAAAGTCAAAGCTACCATTTTAACATTTACTCAGAATCTTGGCATTATTTCCTGGCTATTTCCCACCAATACATGACGTACACTTCACTCAATAACTTTTTTTCTGGTTAATATAACTTTTTATTACAGAGCTTTTAAATTTTACTCCTCTCTCTTGTAGTTTGGATCTTAAATGTCCCCCCAAAGACCATGAGTTAAAGGTTTGGTCCTCACCCACTATGGGAAGATCGTAAGGGAACCTGCCTTGTGGAAAGTAAGTTAGGTCATTGAGGGAGTGTCTTTAAAGGGGATAGTGACCTCAGCCCCTTTATGTCTCTCCTTTCCCATCCCTACTGCTAGGATGGGAGCAGCTTTTCTCTATGACGTGACCACCTTGATGCCTCTCCATGGGCCTAAAGCCACCTGCCCAACACTAACAGACACATCTGGCTTATCCAGTAGAGCCCTCCCCCCCCATCCTCTTCACACTGTTCTGTGTGGTCATTTCTCCAAAGAGATGGAGAACCGCCACACTCCACCAGTGATGATCAGCCCTGCATGGCGTCTGCCCCAGCAGTACAGTACTTGAGATGCTCATCTTGTCGGAACAGGGTTGACGTCACTGAGAAGAGCTTGTTGCCCGGTGTGCATAGAAACCAGTGCTTTGAGCCTGGGTTTTACAACAAGGAAAAGGCTTTCTTGTACAGCCGACTGGCAAGAGCTATAAACTCAGATCTGATTCTCCAATCTGTTAGAAGTCAGAGAGGGGAGCTCGCCAGAGGTAAAAAGAGGTATACTGCTTGTTGGTTGGACGACAAGCTCAAGGCAAGCTGGTGAATATTATTTCAAGGTGTGTTACTTTTGTTTTTGCTGTGGAACGTTGGTCTAATGATATAAAGATATGTTGCTTTTGTTTATGCTGCATTTGTTTAACTCTCTGAAGCTGTGTTACTGTGCCTGTCTAAAATACCTGACAGTCTAATAAAGAGCTGAATGGCCAGTAGTGAGGTAGGAGCAGGAATAGGTAGGGGCTGGCAGGCAGAGAGTATAAACAAAAGGGGAAATGAGGAAGAGGAGGAACAATGAGAGAACAAGGGGAGGAGGACGTCACAGGGCCAGCCACCCAGTCAGCCGTGGAGTATGAGTGAAAGTAAGATATACAGAGGTAAGAAGAGGAAAAAGCCCAGAGGCAAAAGGTAGTGGGGATAATTTAAGAAAAGCTGGCAATAAACAAGCTGAGCTAAGGCTGGGCATTCATAACTAAGAATAAGAATCTGTCCCTGTAAGTGTGATTTACTTGGGAGCTGGGAGACACCCCCACAAAAGTCAAAAGAGTAAGACATAACACAACAAAAGACCCATCCTTGGTAGGGGAGGTCCTTCTGTCTATGTGTTGCTTTTATTGGTTAATGAATAAAGAAACTGCTTTGAACCTAATAGCAAGGCAGAACTTAGCCAGGTGGGAAAAACTAAACTGAATGCTGGGAGAAAGAAGATGGAGTCAGTGAGAAGCCATGTAGCCCCTGCCTGAGACAGATGCTGGAACTTTACCCAGTAAGCCACAGCCTCGTGGCAATACACAGATTAATGGAGAGGGGTTAATTTAAGATACGAGTTATCCAGAAATATGCTTACACTAGTGGCCAAACAGTATTACAAATAATATAGTTTCTGTATGATTATTTCAGGGCTGAGCAGCCAGAACAAGTAAGTGGCCTCCTACAACACATTTTTTTTTTCTTTCTTTTTTTTTTTTTTTTTTGTAGGGTGTGTGTGAAGCTAAGCTCTCTGCACCAGGGGCTTTTGAGTTCATAAAAATCATTGCTCAGACAACCTGAGTTCTCATGGCCATTCCTAAAGAGCTGGCCTCAAACTATACACACAGTTAGCAAAAAAGCCTGGCCGGCTTTGCCTGGGAAACCACTTAAAGTTAAGGAATTTATGTCCACGTGTGTCCAGGCCTCATCTGCTTTCACTCACGGTCCTGCAGTGGAGGCTGTCATCTCTTCACCGGCAGCTGGGCAGCACAGGGTGGGGTAGGGGCTACTGTTTCTGCCTGCCTGCCTGCCTCCAGCCTTCCTCTCTTCCCGCCTTCGAGCCCTTTCATGATTAATTCTTTAAATCCGATCCTTTCACTGAGGAATGAGCTAGCGTGGGTTTCTTTGTCCTCAAAGGGTCGGCATTAGGCTGTGAGGACCTTCAAACAGAATTCTATCCTCCTTTAAAGATGAAAAAAAAATCGATTCCCCTTTTATAAATTATGAAGATATTTAGCTAATTACGTTGAAGATATACATTATTAGGATTATCCGCAGGATGGCAGTGGCAGATGGATGTCTGTGGGGTAAAGGGAGGGTTATTCTCATAGCCTCTTCGTTGCTCTAAGTGCACTAGGAAAGTAGGATTTCTTCAGGGCTTTACATGTTTTAGAACTGTATGTACGTGAGGGAAAGGAACCCTCTTCTTAATCCTCCCCAGTGTGCTTCTCCAGGACTCACAAAGGTGTTGTTGCTTAGGCAGTTACACTGTGATTCCTTTGTCTAACAGAGATCAAAAGCTACGTGGCCACAGCAAAAGAAAAAAAAAAAAACAACCTCACTCCACTGACTACTTTGAGGCGAGCATCCACAGAGCATGGGAAATCCAGTTCCCTAGCTGGTAAGACGGCTGGGTAGGTAAAGGTGCTTGCCACCACTGAGTCTGACAACCCGGGTTGGATCTGCAGGTCCTGCACGGCTCAAACACTATGGCAGGGAATGCGTGGTGGCAGGGGCTGTTCTAGCTGAGGCTCTGAGAGCTCCAGGCGGCTGGTGACATTGTGTTTGTGCGCAGAGGGCTGAGAGAGGTAACTCTGGTGCTCAGCTCGACTTTTCCTTTTCCTGGTTTCATTTCGTCCAGGACCCAAGCCTGTGGGATAGCGCCATCCATATTCAGAATGAATCCTCTTCTTTAGTTAGCCCTGCCCCCACCCCTAATTCGATCATGAATACACCCAGACTTGTGTCTTCTGGTTGGTTCTAAATCCAGTGAAGTGGAGGACGGAAAGGAATCATCACAGGTCACTCGCTGTCTCCTCTATAATTCAGGGAAATTTCCCTGAAAATTCAAGCCACACCATTGACAAAACGCAAGTGTGTAGGAGCCATGCCCAGTGTAAGAGGAACTGGCCCGAAGCTGCTTTGCCTAATCCTTCATTTTGTCAATAATCATTCTGCTACAATGCCAAATGGACAGAGAGCTGTTTTCTTGGGATTTCATGTAGGAGTGATGGTCATATCAAACTCAGATTACTTCTGTGTAACCTTTCTTCTTTGATGGCTGCTTTTTTTCTTTAAAAAAAAGATTTAGTTTACATGTATGCGTGTTTTACCTGTGTATATCTTTATACCACAAGCATACATTGCCACAAGAGGCTGGCCAGAAGGTGGTGTTGGATCCCTTAGAATTGGAGTTACAGGTAGTCGTGAGCTGTCATGTGGGTGTTGAGCACCAAATGTGTCCTCTCCAGGAGCGACCCGTGCCCTCACCTGTTGAGTTATCTCTCTCCAGCCCCTTTCTTTTCTTTTTCGGTTGGCTGAGTTGGGATGAAGTTCAGCCAGGCGAATGGTCTACACCTCCAGTATAATTGTTGTTCTTAAATGTCTTCCAGTGTTGAAATTTTGGAACCTAGATATTTGGGCTTCTTTCTCTTGCCTTCCCAGCCACCCCCTGACCACACCCACCACTCAAGGATTCGCAGGATGCCTAGGGTCCTACAGAAAAGCTAAAACTTACTGGGTACAACATCCAATTTCAGTCATGATGGAAAATCGACTTTCCATAATCTCACACTTGTAATGTATGCGGAAATGACTTGCAGGCATGAGACAACATGCCATCACATGTAACGATCCGCGAAGAAAGGAATCTATACACAGTGAGCTTTACAGTTAGACCTGCAGACAACGTCAGTATCAAGGAAAAGAAGTTGCCTCTGGCACACCGCAAATAGAAGCACAGAGACGTCGAGCCCAAGGAGAATGCGATGGTTTTCTAGGCAGAGAAGGGCGGACCCCAGTTCAGAAACGCCAAGGCTGCCTGGAATCTTCAGGATGGGATGCCTGAGAGGAAAAAGGCCCCAAGTTATGAGGCGAGGTCTCCTTGAGTCACTGACTGGGAACTAAACTGCGCCGTGTTCAGGGTGAGACGCCAGGAGGGCTGATAGAGATTAATTAGTGCCAAAGCGGGAGATGAGTGATGAACCTGTAATGATTCTTGCTCTGTCCCGCCAGCCAGCTCCCAAAGAATGACATCTTGTGAATTAGGAAAGCTCAGCCTACAGCTTAGGATTGTTCCTAACTAGCTCCTAGAACTTGAGCCATTTATGTTAATCTACATTTTATCATATGGCATGACCTCTCTTCCATCTTGCACCTCCTGTGTCATCTCTGTGTCCGACAGGTGTCTCCCACATACCTAGATTCCTCCTCCTCTTCCTCCTTTCTTTCCCCAGAAATCCAGCCTTTACCTCCTGCCTAGCTATTGGCAGTTCAGTTTTTATTACACCAATCACAGCAATACACCTTCACACAATGTACAAAATATCCCACAACAAAATATCCCACATTTCCCAAAATGCCTTTATGTTTTAGAACATAAAGACCTTAAGAGAAAAACCTCAATGAACAGCGATTAGTAGAGTCTGGAAGAGCAGATGTGAGGAGAGGGCCGATGTATCCATATCTGAACTAGGTCACAGTTTGTTGTGAGAACCACTCATGTGTTCATTTTTGTTGAGCTCTTGCTGGCCTGATTTAGAAATTATACTTTATCCCAGGTAGATATGCATAGGAAAATGCAGTGTAGGTAACTCCCAAGGTCCACTGGTGTTGGGAGCTGTAGATCCTGGCCCCTTGGCTTTCTTTGCCTGCAGCTGCTCTGAGCACGAGACCTTGATGGCAGGCTGGTGGTCTGCAGCTGAAAGATCCCGAGAGCTGGGCGTGGCTAAGGATTCCTAGGGAAGCTGCCTCTGAGCACAATAAAGTTTGGCATTCTTGTATCAAGGATGACCCGTGTCCGCGTCTCTCTCTCTGTTTGTCTCTCTCTGTATGTTTTTAAGTCTCCAGCTCAGTTCCCGGCTTGCGTACTGTCTAGTAGTGGTAAGGGGACTACAGGACAGGCTCGGGACCTTGCGGCTTTTATACACTGGGTTCTTGAAATGTATCCCCTTACAGGTAAAGGGGGAGGAGCTACTGTAGAAAATACTTGTCAGTATCTGTCATACATAATTGAGTACGTGAACTAACTGACTTTGTGTACATTAGGAAATTAAAGTCAAAACTGTTGCCTTCCCCATTCTGCAGGACTGCACCACAGCAGAGTTGCCCTTAATAGCTCTTATCCAGGTTCCCATATTCATTGGTTTTTCTAGAGATTGCCAACTATTATTCTACATGTAACTATGAACTGGATGCTGTTTGTTTGTCTTCCCCGATGGGGTGTTACACACGTTGACATTATAAGAATTTCCAGAAAAGGAATGGAGGGCAGAAGACAAGACTCTTTAAATATTGTGATGGTTGATGTTGTTGTCAGTTTGAAGGGATGTGGGATAAGCAGAGGAACAACCCCTTAAGTATGTCTGTGAGGAAGTTTCTAGATTGAGTTAATTGAAGTAGTCAGAATCACCCTAAATTTGAGTGGCACCACTCCAGTCCTGGACTGAGTAAGAAGGAGAAAGTGTCTCCACCGGGCTGGAGAAGACATGCTGCTCTCACAGAGGACCTGAGTTCAGATCCTAACACTGGAATCAGGCTGCTCACAACAACCTGCAACTCTAGCTGCAAGGGATCCAGAGCTTCTGGCCTCGACAAGCAACTGTACATATGGACGCATGCACACATACACACACTCATACACACACCACCTGTACTATGGGATGGTACACGAGCCGTGGAAGGGGCTGGAGATTTAAACACATATACACACAGAGACAGAGACAAGGGGACACAGGTCACCCTTGAAACAAGAATGCCAACTTTATTGTGCTCCAGGGAAGCTTACAATAAGGATCCTTAACTGATAGCCACCCCCCAGCTCTTGGGATTTTCAGCTGTAAAACCCCACCAGAAGCCACTCCTCTGCCATGGAACTCACGAGGGCCTCGTGCTCAGAGCAGCTGCAGGCACAGGAAAACAAGTTTTGTTCAGTTTACTCCGGCAGGCAAAGAAAGTCAAGGGGTCAGGGTTCTGCAGCCCCCAACACACACATACACACCTCTTATATACAATTCAAAGTAAACTGAATCTCTTTAAAAAGAGGAGAGACAGAGACTCTGATTTCTGACTGTAGACACGATGTTAGCCGACCTGACCGGAGTTCCTGCTTGAACGCGGAGGGAGCGGCAACTTTTTCTTCCTTCACTTGCTTATGTCAAGGATATCAGCTTGGCAACATTTAAGGCAGTTCGTGCAAATACTGCCTTTTAAGCGTCTGGGATCTACTTCTCAACCCTGCATGTGCCAGTGTCAATGAGACTCATAGGATGAGTCCGTCTTCCTGTGGGAGATAAGGGAGCTGGCCTTTCACAGTCCTGCAGGGCTTGCAACAGTGCCTTCCTGTAACGCCTGTGATGTTGCAACATAGTTGCTGTTGCTTAAAGAGCCTCCACACCGATTGCCAGGCGCTATGGTAAGTTCTTGGCTTTCAGTTCACTTACTCCTCGTTACAGCCTTTCAAGTATTATGTTATTTCCCACTCTCATAGGGTAGAAGACCCAGGCTTGGAGTTAAGTTACTTGTTTGAGTCACATATTGAAAACTATACAAGTAGGACTCCACCCTAAACCTGTGGGACACCTCAGCCCATGGACTCATGGGAGTTTCTTTTCCAACATACTTATCAATTGCGTCTCATTTTTTTATTTGAATTTCTTGAAAGTACTGTACATGTTAATTAAATAAAAATGTAAAAGAAGCCAGACGGTGGTGGCACACGCCTTTAATCCCTGCAGAGGCAGGTGGATCTCTGGGAGTTCGAGGCCATCCTAGTCTACAAGAGCTAGTTCCGGGACAGGCACCAAAGCTACAGAGAAACCCTGTCTCGAAAAACCACAAAAAAAAAAAAAAAAAAGAAAAGAAAACAAAAACTGAAGTTTAATTCTTACGTTATAAAAGAAAAAGAAAAATGGGGCTGGAGAGACTGCTCGTTAGGTAAGAGCACTTATTGCTCTTCTAGAGACCTGAGTTTAGTTCCCAGCACCCAAGTCAAGGCAGCTCACAATTGCTTATAACTCCAGCTCCAGGAGATCCATTGCCTCTGGCCTCATCAGGCATTTGAATTCATCTGTATGTACCCACATAAACACCCCATGTAATCTAAAATAATAAAAATAGTTTTTAAAATCAAATGATCAAATCCATCCCTACATTCCCCATGCCCGCCCACCATTATTTCCTCCCAACTTAATTTGCTTTAAAAAAAAAAAAACCAAAGTCACTGAATGCACTTGTATGTGCTCGTCTGTCTGTGCATGGGTATAGGGCCATTTACTGAGGCATGGGTAGTTGCTTAGGGGGTCACATCCATTCCAATAGTTCCTCAGCGGAGTGGAACGTCGTGACTCCCTCCCCCATTTGTACACAGATCTTGTCTGGCTTGGTTTGGGTCGATCCTCTGCA